CTGCTGTGAGGCTTTTTTTTAAACATTTACTCGAATGCCTCAACAGATATTTGATYTAATCGATGAACCTATTATTAACACTTTGCATTTAAAAAATTAAATAATATCAAACAAAAGCAGAAACTTTGTCATACATCTTATGGTCTTACTTTTTTATTCGACCACTTTTATCGTTTATCTTTATTCTACTTTGTATTTACTATACATATATAACAAATAAAGTATTTTCAGTAGGAATTACTAAAAAGCAAAGCGTTAATATACTTAATATTAAGTAAGTATCAAACGTATTCAGCTATCTTCACTTTTTCGAAAAAAAATTAATTTTTAAGAAAACGCAAAGACTTTTGAATCGTTCGATACTGATTTATATCTTGCGGTACAGAGTATCAGCAATATATGGAAAAAATAAAAGAAATATTTAAATGATAAATGAATCTAAAGGTTGCTGAAACTTTGTATAATATTCGGAGAAGAAATTTTCCACTCCTGAGTGGAAATTACAATCGCACGACTTCTCCGGTCYCTACCTACTTACAAATTAAATAAACATTCACACCTAAGTTATGCTACCTACCTATATATTGGCACTATTTAAAAAGAACAAACGTACATACATACCCACCCACTCACTCCACGATTCTCTCACATACCACCAGRGKGCAAAARCCTAAACTAGAGAGCATRCCCCGGGGCACCTCCGACACCCTAGTTCAAACGCGTGTTTTCTAAACTTATGGGAGTACGTACCAATGCTGTAATCGTCTGCCAAGGCTAGTGATTATTGCATAAATGACTAATGCAAAAATACAAGTATAAACTAGTATATATGCATACTAGTTATATACGAGTATATCAAAGTTTCCACAAATAAATGCGGTAACTCTACTATTCAAAACGATTTTATTAGAAAAAAAAAAAGTAGAAAAATTTAATATAAATATAAAAATACAAATATATATATTGGTATTTTTCATACCATAAATGACTCTACAAATAATATTCCGAGTATTGAATGATGGATTAATTAAAAACAATCGCGAAACGATGTACAATGCACACACCTAATACGCACACACAAGTGCAATGTACACCGTGCAATCACTAGCACAATAACAGCCGCCAATAGGGGAAAAACTTAAAATTAAACCCACACTAACTGTTTCTCACCTATACGTGTAACATCTGGGCACACGCATAAATGAGAACGCAGAAAGTATGGGGGGAGGGAGAAACGGGAGATTAGTATATTAGAAGCTGAAAATCCTGATCTAAAAGCCATAATTAATATACATATATAAACACATCAAAACATTTGATTTCATCTAAGCGGGCTAAGACTCTAGAAGTCATTTGGATTTGACTTTTTGATTATGTAAAACTCGTTAAATTTAATTTTTTAATATTTAAGAATTTTAAAAGAGAAAAATAAATATATATAAACAACCTCGGACGACTCCTTTCATTAAGTTGGCTGTTCTAATAAAAGAACTGGGCTTTGAGCCACCACTTAACTGCTAGAATCTATCCGTCGCGAATGGGTTTGTCTTCTTGCTCATTTATTTATA